GAAAACTCCCCGACAGAAAAATATTGGGGGCCGTAGAACGTGGATGAAAAAAGAATTTAGTGGAAAAGCAAGAACGAAGAAAAACAACCTGGTTCTCCGTTTTCACCCATAATTCTGAAATCTGTAAAAACGTTTTTCTGAAAAACATTTCGAAAAAGTCAAAAATTATCCAAAGCGACACTGAAAATATTAATGATAACAAAAATCCGTAAGTTCTCATATTATTTTTTTAATTAAAAAATAACTAACACTTGTCACCAAAAAAGCGTCAAAAACAGTGAACCATTACAAAATTTCCTGAAATTATAAACGTTTCTCGACCAGAGGATGGGGACAAACCTTTGAGGAGAGAAGACTGCCTTGACTTGTTCTTTTTTCTGAATCTTTATTCTGAGATTACACAGCGTTAATTTTGACAATAGTAAAACTTTGATAAAACGTTTAAGTTTAAAAAAATAGGTTTTTCCTCAATCAATGCCGGTTTTTCTACAGAAAATAGAGTAAAACCATTTATGCAGAAAGATCTTCATCCCATGCTCTTTTGATGGAACCATTCACAATTCTAGCTGAAAATTGGGCAATAGCAAATGAACTGAACTTATTACACAGAGGCGAAGCGTAGCTTCGCATCACTTGCAATACCACAAATATGGTCTTGAAAACTAGCAGACAAGAAAAGAATAAAAATACAATGAGTCCAAAAAAAAGCGGAAAAATTTCCAAAGAAAGCATAGCTAAAAACCTTCAAATTATTGTCTGAAATGATGTTCTGTTTGCGAAAAACAGGTCCTGAAACCCAATTGACGGTGTTTAATGAAAATTCAAAAACGATTTTCAAATGAAAAAAAATGTTGTCATGAAAAACTTTAAAGTATAAATTCTAGTCTGAGACTTTTAACGTTTTTTTGAGATCCGGAGGAAAACATACAATTTATGGTTCCCTCGAACGATCCGAAATAAGGTTAGTAAGCCAATAAAAATCAGCCGAACACATTTAAGCCAAAAAAAAACCTTTTCAAGCAAAAAATTTTCAAAAAGGAAAATGTACCTAGTCAAGTTTAGTAGAATTACAAATTCATGAGTAAATGAAAACAAAAACAGCAACTACAATAAAAACTGCACTCAGCAAAAAAAGCAGAATCCGTCAATTATCCTAAAAAGGAATATTTCGCGTTTGAAGAAAAGGTCCTGCTCCAGGCGTATTCGTTACCTCAAACTAAGTGTGCCGGAGACGCTTAGAAATTTGAATTCATTATGAACTAAGGAACCACGAGAACAAGTGATTCATTCGATTCTACTAAAAAAGTTGTTAACCTGAAAAAGTCTACATCACGATTTGATAACGTTTGCTAATTGCAAGCGTAATGATGATAGAAAATCACCAAACAAATTTTTTACAACCAACTTAAAAGAAAAAACAAATTAAAACCAAGCCAAAACAAGGACAGCCGGCTGCTGTGCAAGTGCAGAGATTGCTCCAACCATTTTTCTAAAAACAATACAACATTTTTTTCTTTTTTCAAATTGAAGTCTTTAGTTGTTTGTACGCACGTGGTGATAAAAATTTAGAAACTTGTTAAATATTAGTAAACTCGACACAGAAGACATCCTTTATCCTAAAAAAAATTAGGTAAGTAGCGCTAAATTAAGCTATATTTTTGCCTAGAAGGCGCAGAGTAATTTTCGTTTCAGAAAAATCAAGTTCTCTTTGTTTAAAATTTTCAGATAAAGACGTTACTTGATCGGTTTAATCGCTCAAAATTAGGCCGAAACTGAAAAATTCTAAACCGGGGTTTCTCGACAATATGAAAATTTTCTGCAATTTTTCAAATGTCGTTCAAATCATGGCTGAAAGAGCTTTAATATGATATATCAGTTAGCCCATTCCGAATATCATTTATTGCATCTGATTTTGCGCAAAAAAAAACACTCGCATCCAACAGCCGGAACAAAACTCGAGATGAAATTGAGGAAAAAATAAATGTTTGGAGAAATTTAACTAAAAAAGTTTCAACACCAGAGGTAATCAACGAACGAATCGCTCAGATTCGATTTACACGTCGCTCAATTTACGACTACAATCAAAGTTATTAAGTGCAAAAAGCAATTTCAAGTCGTTGAATGTTGCTTCAAAATATAAGAAAACTAGCCATAACTCTGAAAACCAGTTTTTTTAAATGAATTGAGCACTATTTGTATTGTCCATCTGATCCTATCTCATCGCAAAAAAAGAGCAAAATAGGCACCGCATTTTTTCGACATCCAGTATGTGGTTTATGGGTTAATAAAATGCAACCATTCGACAGATTGGAGTGTTTCACTCTGTTCAAAATTTAAAACAATGAAACAGTAATGCGATTTTGATTTTTAAATTTTTTTTGAAGAAAAAAACAAGAACAATTGTTGCTTCCAATTGAGCAAAATATCACAAGAAGTGAGAGTTGGGCATTTAATTCTTAACCTCGAAGACTTCAAAAATTGTTCTCTGTCACATGTTGTTGTTCATAATTAGACAAAAAATCCTTTGGCTAGAAAATATCCCTCAAGGGCTCTTTTTCCTTTCCCCACCTGCAAATGTGTAAAAGTAAATTACTGTTCCCACCAACCGATTATTATAAAAACTGACATCTTTGGTGGTATAGAGCAAAAATGTCATTGAAATGACATTCAAAATTGAGAACAATTTTAGGTCTTGCAAAGAAAACAAAAATAACTCAGTACGACGAAATATTTTTTAAAAAGCAAAAACTTTGCTCTTCAGCTTATGCGGTGTCCAACTGAAAATTGGCACTGAAAGTTAAAGCTAATTCACCAAAGAGAAACCAAATAATTTCAACTCGTTCATTAGGTTGTCGACGCTTAGGAAATGTTCCATCTTAAAAACAAACTAAGCACAGAGGCAAAGTGGCACTTTGATAACACAAGCAAAAAAGTCAAATTTGCTTCACCAACCGGTAAAAAGCGAAATCCAAAAAATGCCTAGAAAAAACATAGCCAATATAGTTGGATAACAGTCAATAAAAGCAACAAAAAAATTTATTTTCTGACTTCTTTTTTGAAGTCACAATACTCGAACTTCAAAAAAAAAGACAGATGGAATTAGAGCTCTTTCATTTTCTAGACAAATTTATGCTGACACTTTTCTGGTTAAAACAACCCAATACGGAAAAACAAATGTATGATCACGCTGGCAAATCTGAAAAGAAAAGATCCACTTTCGAAACTAGAAGTTGATCACGTTTTGCGAGGATTTTATTCTTCTACTTTTCGATAGTACCATTTTCTTTGCTTTTAATAAGGGTAATGAACTGAAATTAAAAACACATCAAATTTCAAACCGCGAAAAAATCAAAATTAAGAGTGAACATATTTTAAGAATTTTCACTAAAAAATAACAAAAAAATGATCACGAGTTACATCTGAGTTTTCACTATGTTTGTTGGTTCTTATTCAACTTAAACATTTAGTATTGTTTAGATAAGTAGTGTTTAAATAAGCTGTGAATCAAAAGTGAGACGGTTCAAGAGTTTTTTCTAAACTTGAAAACACAAGATACCGCCCTTTCTGAATCAAAAAAGCTGAAAAAACTAAGTATTATTATTTGCGTTAATCTATCACGCCAAAATCAACATTGAAGCTCTATGGAATTTCCGAAAAGTACAAAGCCAGTACAATCTTCATTACGTCATAGGAGTTTGTGATCGTTTATTACACTAAGTACATCTGACTTTGGTAGGGAACGTATGTATGCTTACTATATAGAAGCTTTTTAGTGTTCCTGTTAAACAAGCTGTTCTGTTTTGACAATCGAGCAACTACATTTGATTTTGTTGGTCAGAAACAAAGTCTTTACAACTCAAACCAACCTTCAAACCGCACATTTCTCTGTTCTAGTTTAAAAACAATTTATACCCAAAGAAGAAGCTGCACATTGCAAGCGCAAACGAGAAAACAGTAAAAAAGAGCTCTAGAAAAGTTTTAAAATGAAATAAGGAAAAAACGTAAAAATAAACCTCGAAAAACAAACTTTTGCGATGTGCCGGAATCGAACCCATTACCTGTAGATTACGAAACTTATGTATTCGGATCGGCGTGATGATTGCTCCACATTATGTAAACACTATCCATCAAAAAAGCAGAGGAGATATGATATCAAATTTCCAATGGTTGGGTAGAAAAACAAGATTCGTACCGTATTACAACGCAATTGTTGATTTTTTGGAAAGTTTTTGATTCCCAAAATGGCGCTAAGAACCAAAAACAATCTTTACTTGCGTATAACTAAAATTCCAGGTCTTGAATTAAGCATAAATAACGATTGTGAGCCTACTCGCTCGTTTTATTTGCTCAAAATTGAACTACAAATCCAAAAATTTCGAACCAGTTTTTCTCAATCCTGTGAAAAATTTTCGAAACTTTATTATGTAGTTCGAATCAGGATTGAAAAGGCTTCCATTTGGTATATGTCTAGATCAAGTCCGATTATTAACTGAGGTACCTGACTTTGCGTGGGGAAAACCTAAACACACCCGAATACAAAGTTCCGCACCATTTTCAATGATCGGAGCAATAAAAAAATTGATTCAGTTTGAAATTTCCAAGCCCGAAAAAGCTCGAACTTGCTTTAATTATAATTGAGAAGGATTTTCGGAACCGATGGGCAGTGAGTGGTTATATACGCTTAAAATGACAATCAATCAAAAAACGGAAATTCAGACCAGTTGTTCTCGACACTAACTATTTTGCGAATGAAAAATTTACCATAGGATTTCACACGCAACGCCCTACGAGGGTTCTGTTAGGTTGTTAATTTCTTCGTCGTGAGAATGGTGGAACAAAAACAGCTTTACAGTATTTAGGCTATTAAGACATCTAGAGCTTCAGTTCAATGTGTCTTCCGTCTCCGCCAGCTTATAACATCAACTGATCACCGCTGAAATAATTATCTTCAGACGACTTTCTGATGACATATGTGATTCCATTGAGATAAGCCAGAAAAATTTGAAAAATTATTTTTATAAAAATATGATACAATTTTGAACTAAATTATTTATTGTCACTACCAAAAGGTCATTCATACACTTCGAAATAAATATATCGTATTTTCATGGTCAAATATTGTTTACTATTTCAAGTTTCGCTGTAATATTATCCATAAACGAGCTAAGATGACAAAACAGTTTTCCATATGTAAGCAATCAGCCGAAATCAATCAGAGGCGATTCCGTGTGAACGGGTTGCGGAGGAGCGGCCGGCGCGTTTCCTCCCATTTGCTGCTGGACCGGTTGAGCATTTACGCCATTCGACATATAGTTCTGGTTTGGCTGTTGTCCCATTAAGTTCGGAGCGCCTGTCATTGGTTGATACTGTTGCTGCATGTATTGCTGGTTCGATCCTGGAACTACACCGCTAGCTGCCGGATTCACAGCATACTGTTGATGTTGCGGATTTTGGGGAGGCATAGTATAATTACCAGCAGTTTGTTGTTGGTTCATATTCTGACTAGGTGGCGCCGCATTGGCTCCGGGTGGTAACGAGGCATTCATTTGTTGCATGTTGTACATTCCTGGAACTTGTTGTCCAGGGTACATCATATTTTGTCCCATTGGCTGCTGCTGCTGTTGCTGGACCATTCCTTGCATAGGCGCACCTGTAGCTCCTAAAGATCCGTATGGTGATTGTGATTGCATTCCTGGATATTGCCCTGGAAGCATTTGTCCCGGAACCATTCCAGCATTTTGGAACTGATAATTCTGCTGTTGCATTTGCATGTTGGCCTGATTCTGTCTTTCAGATTCAAGCTGTTGCATTCGGTGCAACAAGAACTGCTGTTTCAAACCTCGCAGCGCTTCCATTTTCTGCTGTCTTTGCATCATCATTTGACGTTCTCTCTCTGCCTTTTCTTGTCTTAACTTCTCTTGGTGATCATCTCGCATCGAATCCAACGTCTCTCGTGTGTCTTTCAACAGTGACAATTGGTCCTGTTGGCTTTCGAAATGATTTCTTTGCATCTCGTTCGTCGCAATCATTTTAGCCAATATAGGCTGCAAATTAGACAGTTCCTGGAACGCCGACTGAACTGCGGAGTCCTGGGTGATATTTCGACCTCGGTTTACATTAGACCTCATTCTATTCAGAAACATGTCCAACTTATGCTGGATCATGCTGCACGTTTCATTCGATTCCTCGTTCTTGTAAATGCCATTCAGTGCTGGCTGTTGGTTTGCAGCCACAGAACTTGTCGTTTCCATGCGTGGAATCGCATCAGCTTTCGACGGCGCACTCACTGCGACAGTCTTTGGACTTTCGGCATCATTAATCTTTTGCTGTTCTTGGCGTTTCTTCTCCCAGTAAGCTCTGTCCATATACTTAGCTAGCTCATCGCTTTTTGGCTCATCGGCGACTTTTCCGCCAGCCGTATAACTCTTAACCTTGGGCGATGGATCACGTGAACTCTTTTTACTCGAGCTCGGTTTTCCTGAGGCTTCAGCTTCGCTTTGAGATATTGCCAAAGCTAATTGTAGTTCCTCTTCCTCCTTCAATTTATCTTCCCGTGAAACTGGTGCAGGTGTCTGCGCTTCCTTCGCTAAGGAACTCTTCAAATAGGCCGCCATGAACTCGTCTTCATCCTTGATTTCAACTTTAGATGAGCCACTATCCATTGCTGTCCCACTACTCGCTTGTCCGCCAGCAGAGGAAGTTTTGTTTGAAAGAGCGTCGAAGCAGGTGTCGCATACGCGCACTTCTTTCTCGATTCCGAACTTTGGAATTGTCTTCGTTTTAGAAGAGCATTTGGAGCAAAACGATTGACCACAGTGACGACAATGATGCTGTCTGTTGAATGTAGTAAACTCAGTCCGGCATCTAAGCACATTGAGAGTCAACAACTTTTTGTTAATTATGTTTGCTGAATGATCATTAACAAACAGTATTCAGTAAAAGTATTCAAGTTGAATGACAGTACCATTTCTGAAATCTGTCTCTCAGATATGTCCTTTAATTGTATAAGCATATCCATTTTCTTGAAATTTAGAATGTTAAGCACGTGCAAAAAACTAACGGGTTTTGCAGCTATTCTCTAATTAGACAAAACGGCCTAGATTGGTCTCTTTTCGATCATTTCAATCGTGGATAAATTGTACTCGAAATTACTTTTACCGAATCAAATGATCGAAAAGCGACCAATCTCGGCCGTTTTGTCTAATTAGAGAATAGTTGCAAAACCCGTTAATTTTTTGCACGTGTTCTAAATTTCAAGAAAATGGATATGCTTATACAATTAAAGAACATATCTGAGACACAGATTTCAGAAATGGTAATTACGAAGACTATTTATCCATGTTTTATTTATCCATGTTTGAAATGACCAAAACACTAGCTGTTCAGCTGTGCATTCGACATATAACCCGTTAATTTTTGCACGTGTTCTAAATTTCAAGAAAATGGATATGCTTATACAATTAAAGGACATATCTGAGAGACAGATTTCAGAAATGGTAATTACGAAGACTATTTATCCATGTTTGAAATGACCAAAACACTAGCTGTTCAGCTGTGCATTCGACATATAACCCGTTAATTTTTGCAAGTGTTCTACATTTCAAGAAAATGGATATGCTTATACAATTAAAGGACATATCTGAGAGACAGATTTCAGAAATGGTAATTACGAAGACTATTTATCCATGTTTGAAATGACCAAAACACTAGCTGTTCATTCGACATATAACCCGTTAATTTTTGCACGTGTTCTAAATTTCAAGAAAATGGATATGCTTATACAATTAAAGGACATATCTGAGAGACAGATTTCAGAAATGGTAATTACGAAGACTATTTATCCATGTTTGAAATGACCAAAACACTAGCTGTTCAGCTGTGCATTCGACATATAACCCGTTAATTTTTGCACGTGTTCTAAATTTCAAGAAAATGGATATGCTTATACAATTAAAGGACATATCTGAGAGACAGATTTCAGAAATGGTAGTTACGAAGACTATTTATCCATGTTTGAAATGACCAAAATACTAGCTGTTCAGCTGTGCAGAAAAACGCTGTCGGTCCACTGGTTAAGAACTTTATGTCATGAACTCACGATGGAAAGGAACAATATATGAGCTACCATTGAACCTGAACCTATATGAACAAATTTGTGGCTACTTTGTTTATTTTTCTGAAATTTTCTGCATAGCTTGGAGCAAAAACTTTTTCAAGCCCTAACGATCTTAAGGCATGTTTTAATATTGTTTGTTTTTTAATTAACCAACCAGAGGCCAAACCCGGAGGTTATTATTTAAGGTTAATTAAGCCATGGATATCTTTTAAGAGCTCACCTCGTAAATTCCATTTGAACCATCACTACCGATGCGCCACATTCATGGGCGTGTACAAACTTTTTAAACAGGTTTTACGACTTTAGTTAGCAACTCCGCATCAAGGCATCTTCGTATCAAAACTACTTTTGAGTGTAAAAGGTGATTTCAAACCATTTGTAGGCACGATGTTAGAATAATGGGGAAATTTTCTGTTATACGGCTCAAAACTGATATTAAACCAATAACCTGATTAGTTGGATTTAATTACAGCGAAAGAAGATTTGATTTTTCATTTAACACGAAAGCGCAAAAACAGTATTGATTAAAATTATCCGGACCAAATGCAGTGAACTTGAACTTTAATTTGCGTTTTTCTCGAATTGGGTTGAGTTTAGGTTAAAAAAAATGAAGTCCAATTGTGCTTAAAATTTCACCAGAATTATTATGGTGCAATTTGTTTTGCGAAATTCGCGCCCAAAATTTTACCCCAAAAATAGATTTTTGGCTTTTCAGTCAATTAAAAAGTACTCCATTACAACCTAGTCAATCTTTGACATAATTACATCAGCGTGAGCCTCTTATGTAGCCCAACAAACTTAGAAAAAAGTTTTTTCTCCAAAAATATATAAATTAAAAAACACATTTTTGTTAAATAAAAAAAGATCGTTTTTACTATATATAACACTCTTCGATAATTTAAAAATATTTTGTGCAGGTTTTGGCGATAATTTTCTTCGTAAAGTTTGGGCTACGTATGAGTTTCACATTGACATAATTACGTCATTGATTGAATAGGTATTTATAGTGCACTTTTTGATTGACTAAAAAAGCCGAAAAAGATTCGTTTTGTGGGGTAAATATTTTTTCCCAAGTTTAGCAAAACAAATTGCACCATAATAATTCTAGTGAAATTTGAGCAGGATTTGTCTTCATAATTTTTCAACTAAAGTCAGCCAAATTTAAGAAAAAAGCGTTTTAAACTTCAAACTAAAAAGTTCAATTCGTTTTGTCCGGATAATTTAAACACAGAGGCGAAGTTGCACTTCGCATACACAAGAAAAAATATGAAAGATAACGCTAATGGGAAAAACTGAATGGGAGAAAACTTCGAGTCTACAAAATTTCATAAGTGACACACGCCAATTATGAGTCTGCAAAACAGAGCTCTAAACAGGCAAAACAAAGTGAACTCAGGAAGAGGAAAAGATTAAAAAAATGCACCTTGAGAAAAAATTTTGAAAACAATTTAGAGACAAGGAGTATCACGTTCTGACATCACATTGCACACAAGCAAAACTATGAACGATAACGCTACTGGGAAAAACTGAATGGGGAAAACTTCGAGTCTACAAAATTTCATAAGTGACACACGCCAATTATGAGTCTGCAAAACAGAGCTCTAAACAGGCAAAACAAACTGAGGAAGAGGAAAAGATTTAAAAAAATGCACCTTGAGAAAAAATTTTGAGAAACAATTTAGAGACAAGGAGTATCACGTTCGGACATCACATTGCACTTCGCACACACAAGCAAAAATATGAACGATAACGTAAAGTTTGGGCTACGTATGAGTTTCACATTGACATAATTACGTCATTGATTGAATAGGTATTTATAGTGCACTTTTTGATTGACTAAAAAAGCCGAAAAAGATTCGTTTTGTGGGGTAAATATTTTTTCCCAAGTTTAGCAAAACAAATTGCACCATAATAATTCTAGTGAAATTTGAGCAGGATTTGTCTTCATAATTTTTCAACTAAAGTCAGCCAAATTTAAGAAAAAAGCGTTTTAAACTTCAAACTAAAAAGTTCAATTCGTTTTGTCCGGATAATTTAAACACAGAGGCGAAGTTGCACTTCGCATACACAAGAAAAAATATGAAAGATAACGCTAATGGGAAAAACTGAATGGGAGAAAACTTCGAGTCTACAAAATTTCATAAGTGACACACGCCAATTATGAGTCTGCAAAACAGAGCTCTAAACAGGCAAAACAAAGTGAACTCAGGAAGAGGAAAAGATTAAAAAAATGCACCTTGAGAAAAAATTTTGAAAACAATTTAGAGACAAGGAGTATCACGTTCTGACATCACATTGCACACAAGCAAAACTATGAACGATAACGCTACTGGGAAAAACTGAATGGGGAAAACTTCGAGTCTACAAAATTTCATAAGTGACACACGCCAATTATGAGTCTGCAAAACAGAGCTCTAAACAGGCAAAACAAACTGAGGAAGAGGAAAAGATTTAAAAAAATGCACCTTGAGAAAAAATTTTGAGAAACAATTTAGAGACAAGGAGTATCACGTTCGGACATCACATTGCACTTCGCACACACAAGCAAAAATATGAACGATAACGCTACTGGGAAAAACTGAATGAGGAAAACTTTGAGTCTACGAAAGTGACACACGCCAATTATGAGTATAGATAATTGCTAAGTGACGCAAGCCAATTATGACGCATTAGCAGTACCAGTCAATTTGAAAAAAAAAAGATATTTACCAACTAACATGCCTCAATTTATAGAGCGGACTCATTTTAACTAGTACACGAAAAAAAAATTAAAAACATCCGACCCTGCTATTTGTAACATAATAGTCTGTATTAAAATCCTTAGCATTGGCTGTACTTCATAGCTGGATCAAAAGAACACTTTCAAAATGAACACATTTTGTCGCAACAATATTTGCGACTTAGCACATCAAAAAAAGACGCGAATAATGCCGGGATAATCAGTCCATTGAAGTACGGTCTCAAAAAGTAGACAACTTTATTTCATACTGGTCAGAATAAAGACAAATACAAGCATTGGCCAATGAAAATGGAGATCAGAATGGGAAAAATCTACGCAAGCAAGAATCAAAATATATTATATATTTCGTACATTTGTTCGATTCTGATTGGTTAATACAGTATTTATCTACTTTATGGTTTGTCTGCTTTTTGCTACGTAACCCAGTCTTTTTTTTTAACCTGTAGCAGTGTTTGTCTTCCTTCCATTCTGGCGCGACATCACTCACAAACATGTAGTCGCTCTCACTCATGGTCTCAGCGAAGGTGAAGTCCTCTCGCTTCATGGCCTCATACGTGTTGTGCACACAGGCGAATTTGTGGTCGTTGCGGAATGCACGCTCCCACGCTTGAATCAGTGCACAGATCTTTGTCCTGATCGGAAGTTCCGACTTCTTCGCCAGACTGAAACATAAAAGATGCACTGCAAAACCAAGGAAAACAAACAAAAAGCTAAGCAACTCAGCTCAACATAGTTTGAAACACAGAGGCGAAGCTATGCTTCGCAAACACAAGCGAGGAAAATGCAAAACAGCTCTAAGCAGGCAAAACAAAGTGAACTAAGGAAAAGGAAAAGAATAAAAATGAACCTTGAGAAAAAAGTTTGAATAACAATTTTGAGACAAGGAGTATCACGTTCTCACATCTGCTCCATGACCGGTTGTAATTTTACAAACACTAGCAACCAATAAAGTATCCAAAAATACCAGCAAAAAATCAAAACTATTTCTATGTTCCTGATTTGAATCTCCGACTTGCTGATTAGGAAAGTCACTCGCGTTCTCGCATCTGCGCCACGGTCACGTGGATGTAAACAAGTTGCTTAGCTAATGCTGGATGTACCCGTTTTGATATTTGTAACACAGAAGCGAAGCTGAGCTTCGCACCACTTGCGATACAACACCAAAAAAGGAGAAAAAAATAGATTTATCACAATGAATAAGGCTAGTTTTGAAACAAAAACATGCCGAGACAAGAGACTAAAATTAGCATCGGAAGACAATAACTTTTTACGCCGAAAAAAATCAACAAGATTTAATACTTATGAGAAGTCCCCGTCGCCCTCAAACACTCAAAAAACATTATTTGCTCGTCAAAAGAAACAGCAAGAGACAACTATGACGATAGAATATAGCCCGAAACCTAGGAAGCCCAAAACAACAAAATTGCCAAAAATTTAAGACTAATGATAAGAAGTTATAAGCCCCCCTAAGCCTCAAAACACAGAAACGCTCAAACACACATACATACTTTTTTCGCTCGTCGAAAGACGCAATATGTGGCCGATAAACCGATATAATGTAGGCCGAAACCTATCAACTCGAAAAAAAAAGAAAAAACAAGGCGATGAAAAAATCTTTGTCATAAAAAATTTGAAAATTACTTTCTATTAAAAATTATTTTGTTGAATCCACAGATGAGCAAAAAAACATGTTTATATTGAAACAAATAGAAATTAGGTCACTAAGCCGATAAAATATAAGCCGAAATCATTTGGGCAGAACAAAGTCAAGGTTAAAAAAACAAACGATGTCAAGGTCTAAAAAATTAAAAAACAAAATAGCAGAGGAAAATCAGAACACTAAAAGCAAAGGAGACGCACATAAAATTAAACTCAATGTGAACTGAACCTAAAATTACCATTTCTAATTTCGACCATCCTGTGACCAAAGGTAATTACGGAAAAAAGTCAATTACCCGATTGCAATACTCTTGCTATCGCAAGGGTAATCATATATTGTAATGATACGAAAACGCGAAAATTTCAAATTTCAAAAAAATGGACTTTACGACAAACCCTAGCAATTTCTCTGCTAAAGTAGGACATAAGCTGCTTTTTGAAGGAGATAACAACTGCTCGCTCTTTTAAGTGAAATCTTCATCTCAGATTTGACTGGGTAGTTTAAAAAAAAGGTACAACCGTTTTTAAGAAAAAATGAAATTTCTGCGAAATTTGCGAAAATTTTCCAAGCGTCGCAAAACAAATTAAAACATTCCCTAAGTTTTCATAATACGTTTTTTTTTCAAACGAGACTTAACACTAGCCAAAAGTAAAGCAACAACATATGCTATTAAATTCCATGCTTAAACAGGCTTAAATATGATTAAAATGAAATATACCAAAAGTGCCACCAAATGAGAACTTTTATTCGCGACATAGGTTAGAAAATAAATATTCGTAATAATTTACTACGCTTCGTTTGGGTAAACATGAACTAAGTTCTAAAGCAATCATCAAAAATTGTCCGCAGTTTGATTCCTTGCATGGTTTTGAATTTGAAAAATACCTTCATGAGCCTAAATTAAACCAATCAATATTTTATGTCAAATGCACAAGCTGTATCAAAAACTCTCGGCATCTTTTCAATCACTCGGAACAACTCCCAAATAATTGGCAATAATGGTCATATTGAAACCTTCAATCAACATGAGAGCTGTGGGAATGTCAAAAAAAGCAAGATTGGTTCGGACCCACAATCCACAAGACAAGGACTAAAAACGAACCATTGTTCAATCCCACACTGACTTCATCTCATATTGAAAGCTGAGCAATTTCGTCAAATTAGCGAAATGGAAATAGAATATTGTCTTTTTATAGCTAACACATTTAGTCCATCCCATGAAAACATTGATATAGAATTAAAGCTAATTTGTTGGCACTATCGATTCACTTGAGCATCTTAATTGGTCAAAAAATAGCGGTGTCCTTGATAAAATTTAACACAGAGGCGAAGCTTTGCTTCGCAAACACTTGCGAGAACACGACAAAAAGCCGCTCTGTAAAGTGCAATAACAAAAATTAGAAAGAAGCCTCGAATTAGTGAAAGTTCGGCTACCTCTGAGAATCGTACCTGCGCCCTAGCGATTAAGAGTATCACACACACTTACCACAGAATCTTAATTTTCACCAACGCTAGTCACAAATAAAGCAGAGAACAGATGCTATGCAATTTCCAATGCTACAGTAAATTTCCAAATAAGTGAACACTTTTATTTGCGAGTTAAGTTAGAAAAAAAGAAGGTTCGTAATAACACAAAAAGCTGATTGCAAGTGAAAAAACTTAATAACATTTGTTAAAACTTGCAAGCAACTGTAAGTCAAACACACTAACTTGTGTAGATTCTCCACAAACTGCCAAGTGAGCAACTCTTCGTGAAATTTAGCTCCACAGTTCTTCATGCAAGACTCGGCCACTGACAGTGCAAAGAGACAGACATTGGAGTTCTTGTCCATAACCTTCTTGGACACAGCCGAGGCCGCATACTTGGGGGTCACTTCGCCCGCTCTCACTGCATCACACAGCTGAAGGGTCGCATCCCAATCTGGCTCAAGCAGGATCTGGCTGGTCGCCTTGTCCAACAGTCTAGAAGAAAAAAGCGTGGAAATCAGGGTAGTTTTACTTATTCCTATCGAAATAAAGTCGAAGTTGGAAAAAATATATATAACTGAACTCGAGATTATAACTAATATAGAGACAATTCAACCTATTAGCACCAATCAAAAACAGTATCATTTCCAGCCTGCTAATTCGAGATTCACAAAGTCGACTCAAATATGAAAAGCCCCAAATTTTACACGCAAAGCTTTTCTGTAACTAAGAGAAATCATCTATCTCACCATTGGCAGAAAGGTAAAAACTTGTAGTTCGATTCAGAATATTTCAATTATGCGATCAAAAGTACTTAGAAACCCTCATGAATATGAGATTCCATTGCTTACATAATACAATACTTAATATGTCAAAAAGCCGTATGATTGGTTGCACTGTTGACCAATCAAATGTCTGTTCTCAGAGGAAACCTGTGCATTCTTGTTTTTGTTTGTATCTGCAAACAGTAAGGGTCGCCCAACACGTGTCTTCATTTTGTTTATATGCAGTACTCGACGGGAAGGACCCCTTGGGCAGTTTTTGGTACGGAGAGCCGGGCAAAAATTCCATGCCTGATAATAGTGGGCAGTTTTTAATTAAAGCGAAGAACCGAGAAAAACTACCATTTGCCCAGCTATGTTGGTATGTTAAGCCATTTTGCGACTTCAATGGGTTGTCCCACAGGTCGTCAAGTTTACAAGATAATGGCTTCGAAGGACAGTTAAAGAGGTAGTCTATGTCATGCAGACTAGCGTTACACTTTGAGCAATTGTTCAGCAACGACATAAAGCTAATTTTTTGTGTGCGAAAGGCTGTTTTTTTTCAAGCTATTTCTTGATTTAAAACTTTCGGCAAGCGTTGTTATATTAAGTCTCGACAATAAGTTGTGCTTGGTAGTCACATCGTTCTTGTTGATGGCAGCCAGTTGTTCGCTAAACATTTCATTGTGTTCCTTAGCGGGCAGCTTTTGAGTTTCACATTGAAGATGCTCAACTGTAGTCAATTTTGTGCCAGTTACAATTCTCAGTGCCGTGTTTTGTCGTTTTTGAAGCTCATCCCAAAAATATTCATTTAATGAAGGTTTCTACCAAACACGAGCTGCTTAATTCAGAACAGTACGCCCAATGGCATTATATTTAATAACTTTTTGCTGCACCCCCAGATTAAGCGTCAGTAAGATTGTTTTTCAGTAAGTTTTCAGGAAGTGCGTTTTCACTGTGGTAATGTGTTCAAGGAGGATTAAGAAATTAGCAAAGGTGGGATCTAAATTTTAGGTTTATGGATGGTAAGAAGTGGGTTAATTATCTGCACTAACTTTGCATTCGTCGAGGATGATAAACGTAATGAATCAATGAGTTTTTTTAAGCGTTACAGTATTTATCGAGCAACTTCCAGTCAAAATAAATTCTGAAGAAGCGAATTAGAACCTGTAATCTCAACAATAAACTAAAAACATACAGGCGTTTTTTGCATGCATATTCACGAAGAAACAATTTCTTAATTCATCAAGGATAGCCAATTTCTGTGCAAAAAGCACAGAAAGTTGAAACCAAACAGACTGAAAAATAAAATTCAATTCAAAAAAAAAAATTTCCGGTATTTTTTAAGGAAGAGCGATTGAATTCAAGACAGAACGGTCGGTAACTATGGTTAAAATTACCTTAAAATTGTAGTAGAAAAGGAAGGTACAAATATGATAGTTGGTTCTCTAAAATATAGATGGAGTCCCTATAAGAGTTTTTTTGTTCTTAAAAAGTTTGGAAACAGGTAAAGAATTTGGTTACTTTTGTTTTTGAATCTTTCTAAAAAATTTCGGGACCCATATTTCATACTTGCTTTTTTTTTCAGGTACCCAACAATCACACTTGTACCAAAAAAAATATGAGACCAGCCTCTCATCAAACTTCGACTTACTTAGTCTGACAAACAAAAAATCAAGCTAGTTTTTCCCGACAAAGACAACTTTTTCATAATCCCAATCACGACTTATAGGGCTCGAGGTCGTCAGTTTTTGTTCGAGAAAACGGACCCTAC